TTCGTTTTCTTTCTCGATGGTAAATTGAATTCTGGGATGATAACTATTAAAAATATTAAGTATGGTTGCTTCTTGATGTTCAGGGATCGATGTTAGGATATCATCAACATAACGTTTATAGAACGGAAGTTGAAATGGGAGTTTTTTTATGCAACATTCCTGTAAATCTTGCATCACCAAATCAGAACAAATTGGCGATAAACAGTTTCCCATCCCCAGGCCATAAATTTGTTTGAAAAATTCATCCTGATACTGGAAATAACTGTTGTCAAAAACGAAAATCAACAGATCTATGAACGTTCGTAGAGGAATTTTGACTTTGTTTTCTATGAGATGCCATTTTTTACTAACAATGTTAATTACTACATCTGTAGGGATGTTTGTAAATAATGAAATTACATCCAGAGATATAACCTGGTAGTTTATTGGTAACTTGATACTCTTAATGTTTTCTACAAAATCAAAGGAATTCCTGACATAAGTTTCGTCCTTAACAAATAAATCATTCAAAATATTCGCCAGAAAGGCAGTGAGATTATATAGTGGTGATCCCACGAACGATACTATTGGTCTTAAAGGGTTATTATTCTTGTGTATCTTTGGTTGAAAATAAATTTTAGGTGTCCTGAAGATGCAATAATATATTGCGAAACGTCGACAATCTGAAATAACAGACTTCTGTTGTTTTATTTCGATCCAATCCCAAATAAAACCTCAACCAATTACAATTAAGGGATCGACAACAAACTAACCAAGTATTATTTATTTATGTTATAATCTTATACTATCTTAATAATTACCAAAACTTAATATCTAATACAATACACAATTCAACCAAACCTAATCTATATTTAGTTCCGTTTCACTGTCACTGTCATCTTCATCTATGCCTAAACTAATTATTAATGGCTTAACATTAATACCTATTGAATTATAGGTTTCTTCAACTTTTATAACGTGATTGACAGAATTTTTCCAGCTTTGAACTGGAATATTATCTACACATTTTCTAATTAAATCTATTACAGCAGTACTAAGTGTAGGAGAGGTGTTTCCTCTCCTAACCATTGCCTTCAATTCATGCCAGATATGTTCTATTGGATTGAAAATACAATAATATGGAGGAAGACGCAAAACTGTATGACCACAAGCGCTAGCAAGATCGTCACAAATATATTCTTTTTTAACATTATATGATTTCAAAACGTTTAAAAGATCTTTCTTTGTATAATTTTCTTCGAAATACATATCATTTTCCATCATATATTTTTGAAGTTCTACTTTTGTATTACTTGCATTGGGCACTTTATTTTTTTGACGGCTGTGGTAACTAGCGTTGTCCATCACAATTATACTGTTTTCTGGTATGTTCGGAAGAAGGCGATTCTGAAACCATTCTTCAAATAATTTTGCATCGGTATCTTGATGATAATCTAATGATGAATTGGCTATTTTTTTTGCGGATAGCAGCAAAGAGTTTGGAACAAAACCATTTTCTGATCCGGCATGCAAAATTGTAATCCTCTGGCCTTTATTTGAGGGTGCTTTGGTTTGACATTTGGAGGTTGAGTCGCTCCATCCTCTTTTGGGAGTGTCATGGGTATCAAACCATATTTCGTCAAGATATATTATCGGACGATTTTCTGCCCTATATTGTTTTATGGAACTTAAATATTCTCGACGCCATGCTTGTAATCGCTGGGATTCCATTAGCACTTGCCTCTTATTAATGGTTTGATATTTGAAACCCATTGCTTTCACAATTCTCCAAAGGCTTGTTCTGCTACATAATATATCAGTTTCGTCTTCTATAAGTACCTTTTTTAGAGAATCTATTGTAGGTATTATTTGTTTACTGTACAAATCATAAATTTTCCTACGAATCAACTCTTTATCCGCTTCTTCAACCTTTCTTGACTTGCCGCTGTCACACCGTTGCTTCCTTGGCTGGATGCGTTTGGCTACGATATCTTTAACCGTAGATAATGGAGTTTTGGTTAAAACGGATGATTCACTCACACTTTGATTATGATTATAGCCTCTCTGCAGAAGGGTTAAATAAACGTTCCTCACAATTTCCTTGGCATCTAGCGATAAATGTTTTTTTTTTGAAATACCACTTCCGGTTGCAATACTACCATCATTTGCCCATGGACGCCACATTTTTTTTGTCAATATAACAGCTCTAGTTCTGCACAAAGACTAAATAATTTAACTAAAACATTCACCCACATTTACATGTACATCTCACCTAGGCAGGTATAATAAATAAAATCAACCCGGACCTGCTCACAGGTAGTCGAAGTTTGTGGTTGAGGGTATCATCAACATTTTATTGATACTTGAAGAGTCAACGAATTATTTTGGAATGGACTTTACCAAATGTCATAACATTGTATTAAGCCGTTGCTAAGATATTTTACCATTTCAGTTCTTCTCAATAAAAATCTAGTATTACCATATCTTTTAAAAACCACAAAAGAAAAATTTGATATTTTAGGATTGAAAACACTTGGGTCTGACCAACATTTTTAAAGAAAAATCACTGTAGCTTTGCATTTGAAAAAATAAAGTTGAGAGATTTATCGGAAAAACTATAAAACCGGCAACGTTGCAAATATCATTTTTAGATCCGGCATTATTCAGAACCCCCGTATACCAAATTTCATACCGTTATATCACGCCGTTGCCGGGATATTTGACCGTTCCGGTTCTTTTGGGATACCCTGTATATGTTTGTGCTATTCACAAGTCAGGTCAGGTAGCAATAATGCTGTGAAGCGCCCCACACACTACGTTCTTTCTCGTCGGTTTTCATCGCCGCGATGAAACACGACGATCTAAAATCGAAGTGTGTGGTAGAAAACCGTCGTGTCTCAGCGTCGGTTTAAAATTCAGTCCGAGCTTGATTTTTGGCATGACGGTTCAACATTTCCTTCCAAAACTGTTGTATGTGGGTCCAACTGCCAAAAAATCGCGTAGTGTGTGGTGAAAACAGGCTGACGATGAAACACGACGTTGTTATTAATCGCGACGAGACAGAACGTAGTGTGTGGGGCCCTTTACAAACTACAGACCTATCAGTCTCCCTGTCTGCAATTCCTAAATTATTCGAGCAGTGCGCTGGAAATAATTTTTCAGAAATATTTCACCAGATTGTGATCAGTCAACAGCACAACATCCTTCTTTCAAAGCTCTCAAGTTATGGCGTTTTTGGATCCTAACTTTCATGGATGAAATCTTACTAACAGAATGCAACAAGTCAAGATCGATGGCTATATCTTTCTTCTCTTTTCCATGCATCCTCTGGGGTACCCCAAGACTCTCACTATTGGGCCTCCTTCTATTTGCCTTATTTATCAATGATTAGGATCATTGCTCTGTTGCTCTGCTCGAATTTTTCACTTTTCGCTGATGACTTCAAGTTGTATCGTCAGGTGACGTCAGCTCAAGACATACCTACTTATTCTGCAAAACGATCTTCACATTGTTCATAATTGGTGTCAACTTAATGACATAATGTTTCTCAACATTTGATAAGTGTTATGTCTATAAGGTTCCCTTTTAGTATTGCTTATTAGGTGATGTTCGCTTGTCTGAAGTTTCTGTCATCAAAGATCTTGGAATCTATCTATTAATGTTCACCAAGCATTTTGGAGTGGTAATTGGCAAGGCTAATAATAGAATGTTGGGTTTTATCAAGAGAGCTACTGCTACTAGGGACTCTACAAGATACGCCCCATCAAAATTCTTTACACATAACTGGTCAGATCCGTTCTTGAATTTCCTTGTATAGTTTGGTCACCTTACTATCAGATCCACATCAATAGGCTTGAGAGTGTTCACCACAAATTTATCAAGTTTGCTAGACATAAACTGTCTCTGAGTGGTGTGATTCTCAGCGTTGACCAGACTATGACTTTCTTAGACCTAACAATTCTTGTTCAAAAAAGGGAATACTTCGATATCTGTGTTTTGCTTTTAATATCCGTAACTACTTCATAAAAAGCTACGAGGTATGTCTTGGATGCTTATATATCTACACTCAAAGTTATCGGACACGAAAATAAATCTTAACTGCACATTCCTTACTGTCGTACTTGGTACTTATTACTTTTCAGTCCTGTTAATAGAATATCTGCCAATGTAAATAAGTTCTATGAGAGTCTTGACTTTTACCACCTCAAATGTATGTAAATAAATAAATAAATATAGGTATTTTATTCAAAATATTGTGGATACTATTTTGTACATAAGTTGATTACTTAATTTATCGCACATATAGGTACTAATTGTTTCACATCTTATTCACAACCGTATAATTTGTGGGTGTTTGAGAGCCTGGAAAAAAATTAGTCCTCGAATTTTCTTCATTCGATTTTCTTAATGCCCTATCGTTTGTCAAAATAAAAATCCCAACAAACATTTTTATTGTTTTCAGATGTGTTCTAGTCCCTAGCACAGGTGTAATGGGTCCAACATCTTATTCACAACTGTGGGTTTGTTCTCCTTCACCTTCATTTTTTTATATTCAGAAAATTCAAAAACTACTCGAAACAAAAAAAATTAGACAGAATTTTGATAAGAATTAAATTTTAAACAAGGACATTGACGAACGTTTTCTTTTTTCGGAAAACAAATTTTTGCTCAATTATTGTAATGATATACCGAATTACCTTTAGAAATTAGGCTTTGATAAACAAGAATTATACATTACATTATGATATTCAAAAATGAGGAAGAATTAATGACAAAGACATGAAAATTAATACAGGCAAACAAAACGATAACAGAATCTATCAAAAGTACCACACTCATGTTGATGAAAATACAAGTTTAAAAGACTGAAGCTTCGCAGCTGCGGAATTATTGAAGTTGCATTCAGGTAAAGGTTTTAATTAGCATTAATTTGAGCCTAATAAGATCGGATTGAAATTAACAGAGATGTGACCTAAATTTGGCTAGAACTAAATGAGGTGATATACAGAAAAAAACAACTTTTGGTATAAAATATATATATTCTATTGGTTACGACATATACAATGACATTATCACTCACAAAATATTAGCAAACCACCTTCCCAACAAGTTCTGTACAAGATTTTTCTGTAATCTCAAATGAAAACTAAAAATATTGCTCAAAACCAGCTAGGAAAAGCAATTTTGTACAGCGCAACTTCTTACCATACGCTAAAAATCAAGAAACTTCTGCTGATAGTTTGTCAAAGATGTAACTACCAAAAAATGCAAGGTACCTAATATTAAACCTATTGAGTCCAAAAATGAGAAGGTTAAAACATTAATCATTTTGGATACTTTGCATGGTTTTTCATCCTTCTTCATTGATTACAATAGCTGATTTGTGCCTCCTGAAAAATCTCCATTTTCACTCAACATCATCTATAAACTAGTATTTGGTTAGCATTGTTAAGCTGCCCAACTTGTTTAATTTGATCCAAAGCTTCTCTGATAACATTTAGCTCCTCATGGGTTGAACAACTATTTATCATATCAGTTACATATTTTATTAATTCTTCTTTTTTCATTTCAAGATCATTGTTTTCTTCATCCACTTTGGTTGTTGCTCGGGTTGTTATAGAGTCATCTTCTACTACAAAAACTATAAAAATCCTCAATAAAACTTGGAAAACAAAAATTTTCTTCAGAGCAAAGTAAACCGCCACATTAAAAACATAAATAAATGAGAGTTTCAAAACGATTTTGCTTGGTCCCAACCTCATGGTTAAATTATCTGCATTTGAAACATGAGCATCAATTTATATTTTTTGATTGTCTTAGGTATTTTAATGCTGTATAAGTTTGATCCAAAAAATTTTCTACCCTTGAATTTCGTATGATAAAAATTGACAATAACTTACCAATCTCTTCTGCGGGAATTGGATTTTGAATAAATCTAGCCACAAGATGTATGTGCTTGCAAATATTGTATTTTACAGTCGAATCTAAGCAAGAACACTGAAACTGGTGCAAGCATACATTGCATGGCTTGCATATCAAAGGACAATCTTTACAAATAGTCTCTTGCTTTTGAATTTGATATATTTCTGATTGGGTTACTATTTCCCATCCATCTTTAGTTTGTATCAGGGTAATTAAATTCATTTTTTCCATAGCTTTATGGCATATTTGAATTGTTTTGATTTTTTGTCGAATTTTGTGTTTGTTGTTAGCTAAAATATAAATGAGTTTCTATAAAAATAATTGTTGTAGTATTTGATTTTCAACTTACTAGTAAGTTTATTAATGACCTTATCCCTTACAAACCGCATTACAGCCTCAATGCCTCTATTTAATTTCTGATCATTTTTTCCTTTTTGATAGAACTGGCTAATAGAATTGCACATTCTTTCTAAGCTTGGGCTTGAATTTAAACCTGTATAGCAATAGGCCCAATATTCGAAATTGTCAGCAAAATTATCTCTGAAGTAATTTATAAAATCCAAGCATTCTGGATTATCAATGGAAAGAAAATCATCTAACATTTTATGAAATGCTGTTGCATGTCGTTTGGATAGTAAGTGCCTTAGTTGTTTATATGTAGCAATCTAGAATATAATAATTGTTAATGATATATTGAGTATTGTAAAGGAGAAGACACACTTGTATACTCTCACAATCAATTCTGCTCAAATTTTCACGCCAAGTCTGATCAAGAATCCATGGAGAATAAATCCTAAAAATGACATTAGACATTAAACACAGTAAAACATGTGAATTAATTTGAAAACATACTGCCTAATTTTTATATTATAATCTGATGTGCTGTGATATTCTCTTAAAATAGTTACCTTTTTTCTGGAACATCCATTACACTTATCCAAGCATCAAAATATTCATCCTCCAAGCCAGACATAAAGATTTTAGGCTTAACTATCTTTCTTGCCTTCAGATGTATTTGCTCAAAAAATAATTGTATAATATAAACATCCAGTTTATTAGATATCAGAAAAGCACACGGAAAAGCTTCTTCCAATTCATCCAGCACCAATAACGTGTGCAATTTGAAATTGTTTCCATCAGGACTAATTAAATCATCTTTTGTTGCTTCGATACAAACATGATTGTTTCCATATTTTTTAAAAATATCCATTTGCGAAGCAGACATTAATATTAAAATGACATCATTGGGACTGAGGTAATTGTGATCTTCAAGAAAAGTTCCTAGAGGTTTATGAAAAAGCACACAATCGCCCTCACTCTGCATTTGCTTGGACCACTGGTTGAAATCTGAGACACAATGCTTTCCAACGAGTTGTGATTGAATTTTATATGAAGCCTCAATGTTGTCTAAATCTTTTCTTGTCAATAAACGATTTCTTTGTAAATTGTATTCTGACTCAGAAGAGTCTCTTATTTCATCTAGAATTTTACTAGAGGGGATATTCATGTGAGCTTTATTTGCAATTTCTTCTTTTTCCATTGTAGGAAGATGCAAACAATGTACTTCTGATGTTTCATGGCCTACATGTGCACTAATAAATTTTACAGTGCAACTACCATCAGCTTCTAATTGTTTAATAATTCTTGCAGGACAATAGGCATTTCTTTTAATGCTATCTCGTTTTTTTAAAGATCTTTTACTTCGTCCTTTCTGGTGATAATATCCGTAATGGCCTGACCTGTTGCAATTGTATTTAGTGGTTGAAGTTCTTGAAGCACCAGGGGATTGGTTCATTCTAAATCTGACATCTGTTTTAGCTTCAATATTCGTTTTCCATTTAAAAAATTCTTTTTCTGTTAGGAAGAAGAGTTTTTCTTCAACAAGAGGCATATTATGTGAGGACTTGTAATGGTTCATCATATCGTTCTGGTAATTTGAGAAGAAATTACATAGATGGCAAATTTTTTTCGGTGGTTTCAAAGTAGAAATTGCTTCATTGTGTACTTGTCTTCTGTGATAGTTTAGATGTTTAATTTGGCTGAAATTCTTACCGCAATGACAATGGAAATCAAATTTTGAGGGGTCCAAGGGTTTTCGGTTTCTGGTTTGCTTTGGTTTTATCCGAGGTTTTATCTTGGACTCCTCTGAGACATTTCTGAGGTGCTAAATTTTAAAAATTTGTGTTATTGATTAGGGATATGCAGTTATTGATGCTTGTTAAAGGATGATACAAATACAAACGAGAATACAAACCTGTTTTTCAAAATTTTTTGGTGAAGTGATAAGACAACACTCATCAACCTCCATTATATCTTTTGGGGGTAAGTATAGGACTCCCTAATGTTATTATGTAGGTATTTGGAATACTGCTCTTTTAGTCAATTTTTGCTAGTATAAATTTAATTTTTATGTAGAATAAAATCATAGTCTTGAGAGTATTGATTGCCTCTCAAATATTAAAACTATACAAAAAAAACAATTCAAATTAGGGATAATACAAATATTTGACCATAGCCCCTTTCCAGCCGAAGCCGGCTGACTTTGATCAAGCAATCGAGCTCTTGCGCACGCGCCGCATGCAAATGCTTCAAGCTCGTGTTCGTGTTCCAGCCGTACTGCACTTCGAGACCTGCTAATTTTTGCGTTTCAAACACAGAACACTCAGCTGCACCGTGCTTGAAGCACACAGCTGGAAAGCGGCTATTGTGTTTGTGCTTCAAGCACGGTGCAGCACAGTGTTCTGTGTTTGAAACGCAAAAGCTAGCAGCTCTCGAAGCGCAGTACGGCTGGAACACGAACACGAGCTTGAAGCATTTGTGAGCGCAAAAGCTCGAAAGCGTGCCCAAAATGGTCAGCTGGAATGCGGCTATTGTAGATGAGTTGCTTGGCAACTCTTTTGACTCTTTTCACTGCAAAATCGTTCGGGTCACGCCATTGGGAGCAAATAGTGCAAGCTCCTCATCGTTCGGGTAGAGCCAAGTAGAGTGAAAAGAGTTAACTCCACAAGCACCACCTCGAGGCATGAAGCTCGAGGAGTGGGCATGCGCACTTCCTATATTTCCAAAAGGCGGTTAAATTAAATCCGCAAAAATACATGTTCCGTTTTGTGATGGGAACAATGAACTATAGCTAAAAACTGGAATGTGCACACATTGCCATATCTGCCAAAAAAATGAAGCCATGAAAGACAGATGCCACAACGGGGAATGTTGTTCTTTTCTGTTGCTCGCTGACATATGACGTTTTCGTAAGTTTTGTCATATTTCCCTTCACAGGTTTCATCGATTGGAATACGTGTTGGAAGCAATTTTCGCCATTTAACATAATGAGTGCGACAAAAACAGGTATCCCCTCCGCAGTACAGTGACTTAACCGTGCGTTCGTTATTTTGGTCTGAGTTCTCCGAGCTTGACTTTACCGTTCGTTTATTTAAAAAGTGTACTCGGTGCAGCCTCATTCGCGTTCGTTTATTAAAATTTCCGGTACTTTTATACGGCGTTCAACTGCTCCGTTCGCTCGCTGGTCACGTGATTACGGCTCCGCTCAGCTCGCTCTACACTTTGAGCAAAATATCGAACGCAAGGTAAATAACCTACAGTGGCGACAATTGCTGTCCTATTTTTGATTGGTTTCCCAGGCTGCCGCCATTTTGTTCCCGAGTTGATTTGTTTACGTTTTTCGTTTGCCCGTGTTTCCTATGTATTTTTTTATTTTCGTGTTGAATTTTAAGGATTTTTGTGTAATATATGGTTGAAAAAAACTAAAATAATTGGATTGGATAATTTATTATACATTCCATAATTATTTATTGTAAATTTTTTAAATTTATAATATAGTGAGTATTGTGCCCCTTGCCTGATACAGACTTCTATTTATACTGGTAAATATTACATTTATGTCCTATTTAATAATTTATGCATGAAAAATTAAACCATGTGTGCTGTGTGCTTCTGCCTAAGAATTTTCTACAAAGTCAATTCACAGATTATTTTCAAATTTTGAAGGATTATTTGTATTATTCAGAATAGATGATGAAAATTAGGTAATAAACTACTATTACTGTGACAACAATGCCTCAATTATCATAAATTTATCGTTTTCTGATTTTTTTAAAGGTTTTCTAGCGTGTACCCTGTTCATTTTTGAAATGACTCTTTGTGCTGCAATAAATTGCACAAATTCTGGAGAGCAGGGATTTTTAATGAAACGCTTTCCTAGAGATCCACTCAGAAGACAAACTTGGCTTATTAATATGAAGAGAAGCTATTGGAAACCAACTGACTATTCCTGTTTATGTGAAGTAAAACTAACTAGAACTTTTTAAACATTTTTTTTGTTGTTGAATTTTTCACTTGTGTTCAACTGTCTTGAGGGCACACCATGTCTTGTTTTTAGATACTAAAACTGATTTTTATTTAAGGTTCATTTTGCTCCTCAAATGTGGGAAAAGCCTCATGTAGATGGCAAAAGAAAGTTAAAGTCCAGTGCTATTCCTACAATTTTTTCTTTTGTAAAAGGGGAAACTATCAGGAAATCTCCAGTTCAAGGAAAGCCTCTTTCTCCAGAAGAGCCTGAACTTTCATCTGGCAATAACATTGCATGCGTAGTCGGTAACTACCTACCTACAATAAGTTTTTGATAATTTTCTTCTAAATATTTATTTATAAAAAATAAGGATTTTAGTCGGTTTTTTACAGATGAAGCCTTAGTTCCATTACCTTATGTAGAAGGCCTATCTTCATCAAGTGCAGATTTGGGAGGTAATTTACCAGCAACACAGAACTCATCCTCATTTTTATCGAACGAAAAGAATAGGGCTCCAGTTCCATCATGATTGCTACCATAAGTTTTTAATACTTAGTTTTCTTCTTAATATTTATTTATTGAAAATAGGGTTTTTTACTTGTTTTTTTACAGATGAAGCTTTAGGTCTATCACCTCCTATAGAAGGCCCTCGAGAAGGCCTATCTACATCAAGTGCAGATTTGGAAGGTAACTTACCAGCAACTCAGAAGTCATCCCCATTTTTTTCGAGTAGAGAAAATAGGACTCCAAATTCACCATTAGGTATTACTCTAATAAGTTTTTGATAATTTTCTTCTTAATATTTCTTTATTAAAAATGTTTTTTACTCAGTTTTTTACAAATGAAGCTTTAGTTATATTACCTTTTGTAGAAGGTCTATCTACATCAAGTGTAGATTTGGAAGGTAATTTACCAGCAACTCAGAAGTCATCCTCAATTTTTTCAAATGAAGAAAATAGGGATCCAGTTTCATCATTATTGCTGGAAATAACCAAGGGCAAAGACATAATAACCGAACTGCAAGCAAAATTAAACAGATACGAGACATTGTATGTTAGGGAGAGAAACAAGGCCGTAAGATACAAAAAGCTTCTAAGGCAAGCAAGAAATAAATTGAAGGTAGTACAAAAAACAGCAGATTTTCCACAATGTGATGAATTGTTTAAGCGGTTATTCAACAATGATCAGATAACAGCCTTGAAAAAGAAAAAAAGGAAAAAAACTACAAAACTGATAAGTGGACTAATGACACTGTGACAAAGTCTTTGAAACTAAAATTTAGTTGTGGTATATAACTCTATAATTAGAGGAAGGATGATGCACAGCTTGATGAGGTTTTCAAGCAGAATATGTTTACATTGTGTCCATGGATAAACTTTAGATACTTACTGGGAAAAAAAGTATTTTCAATTTTTTGAAAAAAAGTAGTTCTTCATAATTTCTTTTGCTTGTTATATAAATGTATTCACGTTTTTTTATACAGTGAGCACAAAATATAAAAATATGTAAGTTCAAAATAAAAGAACTTCGGATGAGGGATAGAGAGGTTCATATAAAATAAATTTTACTGTATCACATTCCCATGTCTCAAGTTAGTTAAATAAATTAAGTAAGTATTTATTGTATGTATTGATTTTTTAACAGAGTTCAATTTTTCACCTATTATCGACACTTGAAATTTAGGATTGCCTCCAGCATCAACACAGTAAGACCTTTTCATGGACATACGGTTTTTTAAAGTTGTTTTTAATTTAAATATTGAGTAATTTTGGAAAAACCATCTTTTAATTTTGATTTCTGAGACAGAAGCACTTGGATTGGTTAAGTTTTTCAAGATTCTTGCAGATATTTTTGGATTTCTTCTCATAAACCCCTCGTACCAAACCAATGCCTTCGAGGTCTTCCGGCTTTAAAATGATGGGCTTTTTTCAACCACTTCACAAGCATTTCCACACTGTCTAGTTGATCCTTAATGACTGGAAATCCACAACCAGCCAGGGATAATATCCATTCAATCAATGCATTTTCATCTTGGGTCCATCACACTATCCGGAAACACGAATTTGACATTTTTGAAGCTTTTACATTAAAATAGACAACTCAAATAATAGTTTTATGAAAAAAAAAATGCGGGTTTTTTCATTTTTCTCCAAGAAAATTCAGTTCAAACTGACGGAAATTGACCATTTCATAAATCGAATACGACATTAAACGAAATAAAAATGCAAGGTGCAATCAACGTTGCCACATTGTTGATATCTCCTGAGCTTAAATAATAATAAACATAAAAAAAACCATAGTCATAGTTTCTTAGAGGTTTTATTTATATTTCTTACTAATAAGTTGCATTAACCATTTGTATCTATACATTATAATATAAAAAAGGAAAAGTTGAATTAAGAACCACTAAAACTAAACAAAGCAAACTTCCTTAGGGAACAAAATATGTAATTAATCAACTTAATAATCCTATAAAAAACCATTTAATATTTTTGTCCAATTTGCAATGTTAAGTTATACATTCGTTGGATGGCATTTTTGCCATATATCTGCTTCCACATACCTATATTGGTCAATATATTGTGGCAAATATTTTGAATGCATAACACCCATAGCTCTGAGATATTTTTTCAAGCCAGACCAATACCCTTCCACCTGGTTGGTACAGACCTCTGTAATGGGATCTTTGAAATATTTGGTATGGTTTACTGTACTGTTCGGTGGACGTAACCATAGTCTACCAATCCAGAATAAGCGCGTCAATTGCCTGTCCATATTTCACTATCGACCCTTACATGTTTTGTTATAATCGGCAAAAGAATCGCAGCGGATCGATTTTTGACATATTGAATATATTCCGTTTTTTCAGTGTTATATTTTCTTTCAGAAATTACCGATTCATCAATCTGTACCAAATGATTCTCTCTGCCTAAATAGAATAAAAATTATAACAGACGATCCTCTTCTCAACCTTTGACACAGATCAATGAATATTATCAATTCTTATCAGTTTAATATCACTATCGCTCTGTTTTTCGATAATGACACATAAATAAAAAATGAATCAATAGTAAAGTAATTTTTTTCTGGGTCTCGTAAGGAAAAAAGGTGATCTGATTTTAGAAACTTTTTCAACTTAAAAAAAAAACATAAAATCAATAATCTTAGTAAATTAAATGACAAATATTTTCCTGTATGAATTTCAGTAAATTTATTTATTCATAAGAATATTTAATGTTTTCCGCATCTAATTGAACATTTTAAAGAGGAACTAAACGGTTTTATGGAGAAAGTATATCGAACTTGTAAGTTTTAGTGTTTCCGT